AAATACCAGTACCCAAAACGGGCACATATATTGCACAGTAGTATTTGATTCAATGTCATGTACATGTAATATGCGCAACTGTGCTGAGGATACTGAGGAATCTCGAGTATCAGTGAGACCTGAATAGAATTATGAATAAAAAAATACTTACACATTGTAATCGGGATCGGTCGTGGACTACCACACCACTGCATTTATCTCTCGATCTCTATTTCAAAGACATCTTGAAGGGAACAGCTAAAATCCTCTCGGCCTTCGCCCCCATACCACCCTGATTTCCTCATAGTTTCTTTTCTACGAGTAGCTCTACGTGTAATACTCATCATGTCCAGATCAACCCTTTGGCTTTTCTTAAAGATTATCCCAACTATGTCAACTGTTTTTCATCAAATTCTGAGTCTCTTGAGGTAGAATTTTCCTGAACAAGATGTTTCAAAACAAGAAGAAAATCTGCAGATTTCATTGTTTGTCTGCCATCTTGTTTACAATTTACACATTTTGTATTCTTCAATGCCGAAGAGCTCCAACAAGGGAAATAACTCGGATAGAGAAAAAGCACATTTAGACCAACTCTAAAGTGTAATAAAACGTTTATTTTTCATTTACCCATAAATGTTTTAAATGATATTTGCAAAATAGCATTTCTTGAATCTAAATCTCCCTACTAGAATTTTCACATCACTTGTCAAAGTCTTTAAATATTAAGTCTAACAAGGGAGGTAACGAGGACTAATTATTCACTTTTTGGGCATCAGAAAATTAGAAATTGTAAAATTTTTGTGACCTTGGCTATTTTTTACATAGTTTTGATTGTCACGAAGGATATAAAAAAATATGAACATAAACAGCTTTGTCTAGTAAATATTTTTTTGATATTATTGATAAATAGCAAAATCCACTATAATTTACATCTTCTAGTCCCGTTTCCATGGCAACCGGATAAACTACCATGCTTTCTTTCATATAGTCAATCTTTTCATTCATTGAAGTTTCAGTAAGAAAAAAATTAGCTGAATCGAAGACATCGCGTGGCCACGTCATTTTGATATTTACGTAGAATTGGTATTAAGAAGTTCAGGTTTCAAATAACAGGCTTTGCTGTTCAGTGATAAGTCATGCACGGATGATAAACCAAAATGTTAAAAGTGTTTTGGTCTGGATGTTTTACACGTATATTTTTTAATTAACTCGTCATTGGCTTAAATGGTATTATAGGACTTTTGAATACATCCATACACACCAATAATGCAGGTCTCTTGTTCAAAAAAAATAAGATCACCTTCGCCTCAATGATATAAGCTACGGAAGATGATAAGCGCCAGGAGACATTTTTTTCTTGTTTATTTTGTACACTTCAATTGATATTTAAAAGAGCTAGGCTCACATTACGCATAAGATGCTGCTGTCCTGATATCAATTAACTGAATTTCACCATCCTTTCAATTTTTGTATAAAAATTAACTTTCTTCTCTGTAAAAAAATTCTTTAGAGATTTCACATATCGGAAAACAGGTTTTTAGCTTAAATTTGGCAGAAAAAAATGCGTATTTGACTACCTTCAGCAAAGAATTAAAATATGAGCCTAGCCCACGATCCGAAATTCTTAAAATCTTTTTTTTTTTTAGATCTTTAGAAAAAGATGTATCATTATGTAATTCTATATTATAGATAAAAGGTTGTGCTTTATATAAAGTTTCGAAACAATACTTCAATTTTAAGTCTTTTGGAGTTGGGTTTACAGGATCAGGTTAAAATGACACAATTTATGATGTTATAATGCATCAAACAGAGGGAAAATTTAAGGTCATCAACATTTAAGTAGGGCAAAAAAGGCCTAAGTGACTCTTGTGTTAAACATATTAATGTGCCATTTCTGTATAAATATCCAATCATACTTGATAATTAGGAAAAAGAACTCTTCAAGGAAAGAAGAACAAATGCTGAAAATTTTCACCAATGACAGGAGATATTTTATAGGAAATTATTATGTCAATTGCCAAAAATCCATGCGGCAGACATTTGTTCAAATCATGACTCTATGTGCTAGCTAGGGGGAGGCACTACAGTTTGGGTGATCAAAGTTTTACTCACGTTAACCAATCGTTAAATGTCTATTAGATAAAAAAAGGTAAAACATTATACCCTCCGGTACTTCGGAGCAGAGGTATTAATGTAGAATTCTTTTCTAGTTTCTGACCAGATGAAATATTCAAAATATATTCATGTATTATATATTTAGGCTTACGAGATTTAAAACACCATATGTTTCTCTCTCTTCAAAACAGCAGTACAAGTCGAAAAAAAGAAATGGTAAACTGCTATTGAAAACTAATAAGGACTATTTTTTGGCGGAATGGTGGCGTTTGAAAGTTTCTTCTCTTCTGCTTCTCAAAATTATTAGTATTTTGAATTAATAATAAGGGACTAATTTTTGAAAATATATCAAAGTATTTATTTGTCTTTCATTTATCTGTTCTAGTTTGTTTCAAAAACTATATTTGTTTAACAAATATATTTGTTTAACTAAATATGATTTTTGAAACAAACTAGAACATTATCAGCTTTTTAGTCCAATCTAAGTCAGATTTGAGTAAAAAAAATCTGAAAAAAAATTTTCTCTCTCTGTCAGTCAATGGTCACAACATTTTGTTCTTATATCATTTTGTAACTTTTTGTGACAACTTAACTATATTTGAGAAATAGAGAAAAAATATTATTGGTTATGTAGGTTATGTAGGAATAACATTTCATAAAAATTGAAGAAAAGTACAGAAAATTTGGATAAACAAATATCCATTTTAGGAAAGTCATTTATGTCTATTTGGCTTTTTCATCCTATAGGCCCTACAATTGCTAGTTTCTTTTTATGAAAAAAGAAAAACATAATCCTTCATAATACACGGAAGGGGTGGTTAATTGGCAACAGTATTTTTTTTAAATCTTAATGTCAAGGAATAAAGTCATGACCTTGACCTGAGCTTGCCTCTAATATAAAACGATCAAATTTGCAATTTAATCAATTGTAAGCTCACTGATATACTGTATGATCACTTGTCTACGTGATTCTGTGCAAAATTCATTAATCTTTAATTACAAAAATACATGTATGAGAAAAAAACTACCTTAATATGAAAATGTTACACATTAAAGAGTAAAATCTGTAAATTTTACTCTTGAATCAATATGATTGTACATTTAACCTGAAAAATTTAAATCCAACTTGAAAAAAGGCTGCATTGAAAACAAGTTATCGAATGGTTCTTTGTTTCATTAAATCATCGGATGAAGTATATTGAAATGAGCAAGTTCATAAAACAATACAAATTAGGGGATTATCAAAGATGGACCTCTAACACATCAGAGGTTAGGTCAGGTGGAAGTATGAATTCCCTGCCTGTTCGCATTATCCTGAAATAATAAAATAATATATGTCGTCAATTCAGTGTATAATTAATGGACTAACAAAATCAGTTTTGAGGTTGGATCAGGTGCAATTGAGGAGTGAACATCCCCTGCTGACCGGTCACACCCGCCGTGAGCTCATTCTCATGATAGTGAAATAACAGAAAATCAATTCATTATATAAAATGGACTAAGAATTGGTTTAAAAAGATCAGTCAGCATTTGACTCAATGATAAATTGTATTTGCTGACATGGTCATTGTATCTACCATGGAACTTAAGAAATTATGACTTTCAACGACACTGCTGATGTTATTGTTTTATCAACTTGCTTGTCAATAATATATCCCTATTTAGAAATTGTTTATACGCATGCTATTGCGTATCGAATCAACTGAGATGTATACACTCCGTATGAAGGTGATGAAGGTATATTGCTGCATAAGTAAGGGAAGTTGACGATAGAAAAGTTAAAGTCGTCACATAATGTAGTAAGGTTATCATTAACTTCCTTTTCAAGTAAAATATCCAAGTATGAAACAGATGGTATCTTTTATCTCAAGCTCTCCTGGATATAATGTTACGACCTAGGAATGGAAATTACCATTGCTAAGTGACAATCCGTCGTCGATATAACTGAATCAGGTCGAGTTGAAGGCAACAGCAAGTGTTTTCTTCTTTTCACGCATAAGATTTTGCATAATTTCTGCTTCATATGAATACAAAAATAGGTCTGCTAATAACGGAGCGCAATTGGTTCCAATGGGAATTCAAATAGATTGTTGGAATACCAGGTAGAATTATTAAGAAAACATCTCATGCATTTGAGTTCAAATAGAAGAGGTATAATCTGAGTGAGGGAGTCTCTGTATCGGATAGGAAAATCAGTGAAGAATCTGAAAAATCTTAAACGCTTTATCGGTAAAATCTGAAGCAAAAAAAACTTTAGAAAGATGGAACTTCAAGATAAGACAAGAGTTAATCAGTAATAAAAGAAATGAACACCCTTTACACAACAAATAACTCAACAACAACTATTATTAAAATAAATGTGAAGTATTCAAAAAAGGTTTATAATAAGGGGATACTTGTCTATATTTGATAAAACGGATAGAGATAGTACATTTTTATTTAGAAAATTTTGGTGCTATATTTTTACGCTCAGCGTGTACATGTTGATTTTGAAATGAAACCGATTTCTGTTAAATGAAATGGAATGAAAGTTCACATAAGTACAAAACGCATATCATATAGTGCTTGTTTTAAATTTCTAGAGACTGATATACCAATGTGGTCTCAACTTTAAAGTTATAAAATTTTAAGATATAGTATATTTTATTTCAAATAATCATATTTAGGATTCTACTATATGTATCATTTGTATCCATGTCTACATAGATTTTCAAACTTAAATTATCATGAATCCCCGGGAGTTACGTTCCGGTGGTAAGGAAACCTTGATCTTTTGCAAGCTAGTAAATATTCCTAGATACGATTCTTTTGGAATAATGACGAATTTCTGCACATGTCTTTACATATACATAAGTTATGCTTTTCTATCTAAAATATCACATGTATAAAAAATATTTTGGTTGTAGAAGTTTGGTAGAAGTCATTGCTTGGGGTTTACTGATCATGGGTGTCTTTTTAATGGTCACATTCGTCTTCTATTTTAAATTGTAAGTATAAGTATGTGTTTATCTGGAAATGAATCCAGCTTTTCATGGAAGAAACAAAATTGTACAAGTTTGTTATAAAGTTAATGCATTTACTTGTATTTATTTATTATTCCACGTCAATCGATATTATAGAACTTTTAACTACATGCAGGGCAGATGATTTATTAGATCATGTTGTTTCAAACTGAAAAAAAAATAATTAGCGCCAATTCCATTCAAATATCTAAGACTTGCCAATAAGACCTTTTTCAAAATTTTCTTGGCTAGTACTTAGAATAGCAATAACTGATTTTAAACCCTAATACCGGTATACTTTTCAGATACAGAACAGCGGATGAAGTCAGAAAGGTAACATTAAATTTATAAAAAAGATATTGTACTCTAGTGACATACAGGTATTTATTATAAAGTATATTTATATTCCCTTTAAAATCTGTACAAATGAAAACAGTCTACAACACTACATATTCACCAGATTCGAAGGCGTAATTACCGGAGTGTCAATTTGTGTGCAGCGGTACTTTCACACTCAACTTCATAAACAAGGTTATAACAAGTGCTGCAACCACCAAAGCTAGCTGTTTTACAACAGAACTTACGACTAAGACTAAAAAACTCAGACTTTTGTAAAATAATGCAAAATTAATAATAATAATTGTCTTTGAAATTGTTTGTGAAAAATATCTTACATGTACCATATTCCTTTTAAAAAGTTAAAATAATTTTCGCTATATTTCTAATATTAAAAAGTTATATGAAAAATTATGCTTGGTCTTAAGTCGTAAGTCCTTTTGTAAAACGGGCCCAGGAACAGCTTAATGGTTTTATATATTTGTCTTTGACTATAACGCTGTAAAATCCTCAGCTACCACCAAAGCCAGCTATGTATCTGAGCAAACAAAAAAAATATACAGACTTATCGCAGGATTATTTTTACATTTGGACGTGGTACATGTAGCGAAACTCGAAAAAGAATATAATTTCGGCATTATCAGCGAGGGTGTTGAGATCTCTAAAATTGAATATCGCTAAAAAAATTATTACATTTTAGTTGTAATGGTTTCTTTTGTGAGCTTTTTAATACAACTAATATTAATTCTCGCTAAAACTTAAATATCCGTTTTAAGGACAAATATCTAAATTGGCATCTCGCTAAATTTTTTAATTATACGATAATGTGTATTTTTTTTTTGTTTCAGATTTGCAAAAACAGCCTTCCACAGAAAACTGTAAGTATTTTTTTTTTACAAAAATAGTGGAAAAGAAACTTAAGGATAACAAGAAGGTCTTCCAGTGAAGACAGAAGATCTTAAAAAGAAACAAATTAAAAACAATATGTTCCCCAACTCCGTTTGGGGGACATAACTAGCAATTATTGTAATTAAATTGTTGTTATACATGAAAAACTTCGTCGGCAAATGATTTATCATTTATTTGTAGATGTCAGAACATTGTTTCTTTTCTGAAACTTTTTCTATGAAACTCATTCTACCTCAGATGTTTCCAGACATATTCATTTTTACCTTTATAAAATAGACCAAAGATTGTTTTTTTTCTGTTTTATAATCAACAATAGTTAGATACTAGTAATCTAGTAATCAATGTCGTAGTAAAATAGCAGAGAACATATTCTGCAACGGTGTACATGTATTACTATATTTTTTATCTTCTGAAAAGAACATCACTGATGATTGTCAGATGGATATGAAATAATTTGCATTTTGTATTACACAAAATAACTCAATAATGCAAAATTCATATTGAACATTAAGAAATTAAATTAAAAATCCCAATAAAAACGTATGAAATGAATTCAGGAGAACTACGAGGCATTTAATTTATAAAAGTGAATCCAAATAAGGATTTCACCTTTGATTTTTTGACAATACAGAAGAAATTTAATTTTTTTTTTCAATTTACAGACTCATGTTCAACAAGAACCCAGATCATCTCAACACAGGTAAATGCATCATGCAAAAATGATTTTATACCTATTCTTTTCATGCTTTTTGCCGAAATCAAAAAAAATTAAATGCCGTTGCATATTTCTTCAATATAACTCACGAACGTCATCAAAAAAATATCGGATCAGAAATACGTATAAAACCTGTATACTTCAAATGCATGTTTGACTCTTGAATGAAATACTTGTAAAGACCAGATCAATGTGTTGTCCTTCGCAATCTAAACGACGTGTAAAATTGCACAAATTAGCTGATTAATGTCGGTTAACAAAGCGAAGTGGGACTGTTCCACAAACCTCCCAACACCACTTTGTCAAAATACTCTTAATCAAAAAGCAAAAAAAAAAAAAAAGGTTCTTTGAAAGTTCCTCATAGTTCTTTCCGTAATTTTCAAATTCTTGTTTTTATTAAACACTTTTTGATCCTGGGTTGGTTCAAATGTATGTATCCATATAGCGAATTCCTTTGAGCTTATATGTAGATGTACATGTAAAAAATATATATAGAGAATAGATATGCCTTAAAAAGTTGGGGTTCCATGTACGTACATTATCAATTTATATCTTTTTATATCTTTTTTATAAAGTCCAATTTTTTTCTTTGAATTACAGCTCTCCTGAGTCTGCTGAAGCATCCAGTCTCTTGCAGAAAGACACTACAAATCATAATGGGGAATAACTTACAAAGTGTCGTATATTTTACCTGAAAGTCATTGATGATCAGTGTCGTACTCTACCCTTTAAAAAAATGATGAAAACAAAAGTGGACCTTTAAAAAATTTAGAATACTCACTGTAAAATAGAAAAAAGGACTGTGCATTGACACAAAGCTTCAGAATAATGTTTACCTTATAGAAGTGGTGAATCGAGTTTAAAAAAATGGAGTTCATTCCATAACATAATTATAAAAAAAAATTTCATCACGTTTAAAATGTTTTTTTCTTTAAATCAAATAAAATTGTTTTTAATACAAAATACTGCAATGGTCTGTCATTAATACGTTGATAATGTAAAGTACTTGTGATTGGAGGATTTAGAGAATTATATTTAAAATGCACGAAGCAAAAAAAAAAAAAAAAAAATGGACAAGCAAAACAACATTGTAAGAAATATTAAGCACTCTGTCCAAGAAGTTCATTCTAATCTTTTTAGTTAAAGATGAGTAAAACCAGTAGATTCGGTGACGAATAAAAAACAATAAATATCCCAATTACTTTTTATTCTTCTATGTAAATCGGTGGTTTGATTGTTAATAAAGCGGCTGTGTTGTCGCATTGAATGTAGAATATTTTTCATGAGCACAACACAACATTACATCAAAGCAAAACGAGAAGTGCACCTTGGGTTTGTTTCCCAAGTTCGCTCGGGGTCCGTGTTTGGGTTCGCATTCAGAAATTTTGGAAGCGCCTTGAATTCGCTCCGCGTTCGCTTGGGGTCAGGTCTGGGTCCACTAGAGCGAACCCGGCGTTCGATTACTGAAGTCGCTATACGCACTTGTGCGTAAAACGAACCCCGCTGATTAATCTTTGCTCAGATTTAGCCCCCTCCATGTAGTCGAAGAGATCAACATAATAGCTACATCGCCAAATATTTCAACTCATCTTCCCTGTATATCAAATCAACCGGGTATGTTGTCGAATTGTAGTTCCAGGCATGAAATTTTCATAAAGAATTCAGTGCGATAATTTGCAGTTTACATGAAATAGGCGAATTACAATATAGCAGTATGTTTAGCAAATGACAATCAAAGTTTTACTATTTGTGTAAAGACAGTGTGAAGACTGTGGGTTTTATCCATGAACAGTGCTTGAATAAAAAAAAATTAAAAAGTTTATTATAAAAAGAAATAGATTTTAAATATAGCTAAAATAGATTTTAAATATAAAAAAAATATTAATAGGTATCCTGCTCAAAGTCCTTCTTTCTATTCCTCGCGGTAGGCATTAGAAACATGTCTTATGCCTGTTAATGTTATACCTTAAATTAGTTTAAATGCACGCATAAGTCCATTGCTGGCTAGCGAAAGACACAATGTAGTGTTAATTTAACGTATACTTTTATATGTAGCGGTAATGTGACGTTCATTGTAGCGTTAATGACTATGTAGCGTTTATGAAAATTTCGAAAATGTAGCGGTAATGATACGCACCCAGAAATCGAATAGTGGAATCGATCATTGTTGTTTTAGCGGTGATCGATTCATTTACATATACATGTACACTGTTCATGTATAGTGAATTATGAAGAGCATTGATAAATTTTCCAAAATTCAACTGTATAATCGACGTGCCATAAAAATTTATTTCCTTGATTTATTCGCTCTCGGAATTTTGATCAAGTGAAATTCCAAGTTTTTCGCTGTTGTATTGATTTTTAATGTATCGAATGGTGTACAAGACGGGTATGGAGATAACGAACATTATTCGATATCAAAGTCCATTAAACAATACAAAATAGGAGCAGAGGAAACACGGACCTCTGAAACATTAGAGGTGGGATCAGGTGCCATAGAGGAGTGAGCATGCCCTGCTGACCGGTCACAACCGCCGTGTGCTCCTTGTCATGAAAAGGAAATAACGAGAAAAAAATCCGTCGTCAATTCAGTATATAAATAATGGACTAACAATTGGTATGTGTCACCGGGTTCCTAGGTACGTGAAAGTCAGTCAATATATCGGCTCTCAATAGCTCAGTGGGTTAGAACGCTGGCACGGTACGCCAGAGGACCCGGGTTCGAGATCCGATTGAGACTTGATTTTTCACAACCTGTGACATATGAAAATCGTCAGTCAGCATTTGACTCAATTGTATTTGCTGACAATGTCATTGTATCGATCAAAGAAATTACAATATGATAATTTTAATTGAGACTGTTGGATTTTTGTTTCATCAACTTGCTTGTCAATAATTTACCTCGTTTTAAAAATTGTTCATACGTAAATCATGATCTTGAGTATCGAATCAACTGAGATATATATACTCAGTATGCAGGTGATGAAGGCATATTGCTGCATTAGAAAGGGAAGTAGACGATAGAAAAGTTAAAGTCGTCACGTTTATCATATAGCCTGGTTGTTAGATTACCATTAGATTAGTTAGATTACCATCCAAGTATGAAACAGAAGTGTCGAACTCTGTGGAATGTTTGTGTAAGTTTACCAGGATATATCGTATCGGTCGGACCCACAGCTGACCCTCAGCAAATGCGGAGAGCACCAGGAGCGCACTCAAAGCGCACCCAGAGCGGTCACAAAAATTTCTGAAAGCAAACCCGAAGCGGACCCCGAGCGAACCCGGGAAATTGGGTTTGCTCTGGTGTTAGGTTGTGTTCGGTCGGTACTGTAGAATTGGAAATTACCTTTAGTAATCGTTATATCTAAACGTCGATTTGAAAGCCACAGCAACTGATTTATTTGAAAACATATACACTAGTACTTACTATGTACTAGTAATAAATATACGTATGATAATCAATTAGGGATCTTAAATACACATAAGAAGCATGCATGCATACAAATCTGATATCAAGATGAGGAATGAAATTCATAAAATAAACGACTTTGACCTAGTAGTTACACAAGTTACTCAACATGTTTTTAAAAAGTTTTTTTCATTTTAACATTAAACAAAATCAGATCTTACATTACACTAGACATCATGGTTGTGAATGTATACATTCACTTTCATCCAGACTTTTGCACTTGTAATCCTTGAAAACAGTATACACTGAACCAAACTTCTAAGTGTTCACCTCACATTTTTGAAGTTTTCAAGAACAAATGCAAACAATAAATACTTTCTTTAATTCTTGGTTAAAGATGCATATTTAAGTTCAATGTTGCGTAAATTTCATGTAAGCATCTGGTCAGAATTTTAAGCAAAGTGTCGATGTAATGATGTACCCTCAAAATGAAAATTCGAACAAAAAATCTCGATGGTGTAAGACCCACTTCTCGCTCTATTACTTCAAGACAATCTTTACTGTTGGATACCATGTAGCCCTGAATAGGAGATTGACCCATCTACTGCCAGACCTACATGTACTACATACTAGATCTTTCCAAACCATTGAAATTGTGAGAAAATGGGGGAGAGGGGACTTTGACATTTCTTTTAAAATCCCAAATGTGTTCAATGGGATTAAGGTCCGGGAATTTGACAGTGTATCGTCACACAAGTACCTTTTGGTAAATATCCTTGGGTGTTTAGCACGTAAGTGCGACACTTTAAGGATAATTCAGACTGCTTGAGCTGATATAGGACTGCCACGAGCACCGATTTCTTATCATTTTCGTACGATTGAAATGGTTTGTTTCCATGTTTCTAAGATCTTTTTCAGGACACTTGAACACTCGCTTTTCCTGGTTTAATGCGAAATTTTCTCCCAAGATGAACATTAAGGTCACTCCCGGTATGGTTAAATTTTGTCAAAACTTTCAAATTGTGATAAATTGGTAATGAAAAATGAGCACAACCTATACAGAAATGTGTTTAAATGGGTTTTTGATATTGTTTGATAATTTTTAAAAGTAATATAAAGTACAATTAAGCACTAAAATAAAAATGAGCAAAACGTGGTGCGAAGATGGTCCAGATATCAATATTCCAACGGCTCTCCCTTCTACATCAATGGTTAATTTGCCAATGTTTTGTGTTTCTAAGTGAAACCAGTTTTTAAAATTTGATAATGATCACAAAAAGATGCGTATTACACAAACACGTGCTGCAAAGTACAGATTTCTTGTTTTTAAGCTTCGTCAGGGAACATTGATTTTCATCGGTGATATTGAATTTTCTTTCTACAATTGCTGAGAAGACACATTTGTTGTAATAGTGTGAAAATATCATACCATTCTATAAAGTAGTTTTTAAATAAATGCATTTATTAAAGTGAACACTTAGAATTTTTGTTAAGTGTATATTCCCAACAAAATATTCAAACATGTACAACTTCAATTCAAACATTTCAAAATGGCGAATTTTGAGGTTACCTAGTATAATTTGCATTTCATTGGATGATTTAACTTGTTTACTGTTGTAGCAAACTTCCAGCGAACATTCAAATTATTAAATGTTACATGCCAACTTGCTGCGAACATTAGATAGGAATGTATGTTTCTTGCAGTGTTTCTGCAAACCTATGTTTTTTTTCGAATTTTCTTCCGGCTTGTAGCAATTGCCTGCAGCAAACATATCATTTTTTGTAAGGGGTCACAAGATCATTCACCTTGGTGTCATTTGAACGAATTTAATTATTTGCGTTCGCAAATCAAATACAAAGCCTCTATCTCCCATGTTCAAAATTCATTGTGAAGGTTTAAAGAAGTCTTTTTAGCATGTTGGTCTCAGTTAAGCTACAAGGTTATTGACCTTTGTGTCATTTGACAGAGCATGATTTGTGGAGTACAGATATAATTTCTAAATATGAAATATTTATTTTTCAATGTTCAAAAGTTATGGCCAATGACAAAGTTTGCAGACAAACAGACAAAGAGACAAAACAAAAACAACATTCGTCCCTAACCTATCGATCTTGGCGCTTAAAAATACAAGAGGCCAACGGGCCTTATAGGTAACCTGAGTATTGTGTAACAACTTTCAAACAATTAAATTTGGTTCGTGTTTTAAACCAGAGGCCATAAAATTTACAATTCACAATGTTGAAAGAGGTACCATTGCTTATCATACTTATTAACTTAGCATACTACCTATATTTACTTAATACCCAGAGGTAGATCAGAGTAACAAAGAGAAAATGCATTTCCACTTTATACCCAGTTGTGCACCTCATTCCAAATGAAACAACTGACCAAAGGGCCAAAGATTTCAAAATCTTGCAGATTTTATCATAAAATGG